GAGAAGCAAAATTGTCATTAATTTCCCTTCAACCACTACCATCACATCACACCATAACTTGTAACCTTTTATCACACTCAACTAGCCAAATTTTGGCTCTATTTCTACTATACATGGCCGGCCAAGTGGAGAATGAGAGAGAGAAAAATAAATCCTACCCCTTGTACTTTTGTCCACTCTCTTAAGTTTCTCTTGAAACTGCTAAAAATTATACTGACTGTAGGTAAGTAACTTAGCCGACAGGAAATTCTAGTTTCTGACGATTCCTTTTCAACTGCTTATTTACAATTTAATATTAATTCCCGACTACTTAGGGATCACATTAAATTCTCACTCGCGTAATATCTTAAACTGTTTCAAGTCTTAAAATTAATTCTAGACTAAATAAATTCTAAATTTAACTTTTCTGCATTATATCCCGGGAATGATATTGTTTCTGACGGTGTCAACTCATCTTGTGACTTTAATCTAGCTGTCTGGCAATTAAGGATTTTCTCTTATTTAAAAATGTCAGTGCGTTTTTTTTTTACGCTACTAACATCATGCTGTGTTCGGAGATTCTTGAAATTAAGATTCTCAACTATACTTGTACTGAAAATTATTCTGCCTTAAAGTACGGCAAGAATTTATCGGTCGAATTTACTTGATCGAAAACATGAACTTAACATGAAATCTGCTACAGAATTTAGGAATACAGATATTAATTCCATAAATCCTTTAGTCACATAATATTTTCTAGGAAAATCCTTGGCTTAAATAAATAAATTGTATTATTTAAGGTCTGAGATTTTCTCAGGCATTACATCACCATTGTGAATCCATGTGGTGTAACTTGTATCAAAACCCCATCGATGTATGTGCGCTTTTACTGTTTCGGGTGGATGCATCTCATGATTTCTACACTTCATACACGGACAACTAATACCCTCGAGTGAATTTGCATAATTCTTGCCAGCCTCAATAAAAGCACACAAACCATCCCAGTACTCATCAGACAACCGGTTCCTTAAATGTATCAAACTCTTGTCCATAGGCATCTCCACTGTGAAAAATTTATAAATTTTTATCAAATTTTATGAAAATTAACACAAATTATTTTATAATAAGTATTTAACATTAGTTTATTTAATTATTTAATTATAAATATAATCTTAATTAAAATTTTTATCTAATTTTTTAATTATCACATAATCATCATTAAACAAATTTTATACAAATTTTAATCTAATTATCACATATTTCAATTTCAATTCAAATTTTAAATTCACAATTTTAAATTCAAAACCACAAACTATATCTAAAATCTAAAACAAAATTATAAACAAGAACAAAAATACCAAAATCAATTAACAAAATACCAAAATCAATTAATAAAATACCAAAATATTAACTCACAAAATCCAAACCAACAAATAACAGGGGTTGGAGAACGGAAAGGCACCAAGAAAAGAGGATGCCGGGGGCCGGAAAACGGCGAGTTCGGCCGGAAAAGTGGGAGCCGAGAGGGAGATGAAAACTCCACATTTTTTGACTTTTTTCTCCGCAAATGAAAGATTTGAGGAGAGAACGATAATACTAAGCTATTTTCAGTGTTTTTGGACGGTTTTAGACGGAGAGAACGAGAGAAACCCGAGAGCCTCACCGGGAAAAATGGCGGAAGGAGCTCTGCGATCGTGGTTATATAGGTCATTTTTTGCGATGACATTATGTCGTCGCAAGAAACATTAAATAGTCGTCGCAATTCATGTTAAAACGACGTCGTTCTTTTTCACCTCATTAATATTTTAGAGAATATTCTTGAGGAATATACCTTGGTTCCTTTTTTGTGACGACAATTTAATAGTGTCGTCACAAATAATTTTGAGGAAACTGCCAAAGTTTCCGCCCTTTTTTTGGAAACAATTAAATTCCCAGTATTTGCGACGACACGTGTCGTCGCAAAAAACAGTCGTCCTTGATAGAATTTTCTAGAATCATTTTTTCTGATGACACGTGTCGTCACAAAAAAGTTGTTCTGAAAAGAATTTTCTGGAACCATTTTTTGCGACGACATTTTGCATTGTCATCACAAAAAATAAAGAAATATATGGAACCTATTCGCGCGAAAGTGCCAAATTTCCCACCCCTTTTTGGCCACGTCACCGCCAGCTGTAACTATTACTATTTGTGACGACATGTCCTCGCAAAAAATGTACAAACTAGCACCAAAATTGTTGGCGCTAGATTGGTTTTGGCGCCAATGGGTATTAGCGACGACATGATGACATGTTGTCGTAATTATATAAATTTTGTGCAACGATATGTCGTCGCAAATATTTAATGCAACGACAAGTCGTTCACAAATTTTGTTTTATTTTAAGTGATGAGATGTCGTCGCTAAGACTATAATTTTAGCAACGACAAATGTCGCCACTAATAATGTCGTTGCTAATAACCCTTTTTGTTGTAGTGACTTGTAACTTATCAATTATCAGGCCAAAAAAAAAGAAAAAAAAGAATGTAACACTTGTACTAATAAACCGAATCTTGAATTTTTTGTTTTTTAAATTAAAGTGTGGAGAAATTTGAACTATATATCTTATGTGGAGTTTGATATGAAATTATTGTGAGAGCTATGCTTGTAACTACATAAATAATGATAATAGTGAGAGGGTTTTCGTTAAACAAATAAATCTTGTGTTTTTCAATTATTAGGCTTAGCATAGGATTATTGTGCTTTTAGAATTTAATAGTTGTACCAAACAATTATATAACTAAAACAACTTAATATTTACATTGGGGTATGCAAGATATATAGACATACACACATATATACATATACATAGATTTGTACATTTTTATCAAACACTTGGTTTGTATTTTTTTTTGGAGTTTCGAGATTAGTCTCAAATTATGCTTCATATAAGATTTATTGATGAAAATGATGATTCCATTACTCAACTACGTTTCATACTATCATGCTAAAATACTGATAAGAGTGGTTATTTTATCGCCAAAAGTGTCCAGCAATTTGTAGTCTTCATCTACATGATGTTTCAATCATTTTGTGTGCGTTTGGAAGGGTCCGAAAACGTTTCACGTTTTTTGAAGAGGAAAAATTGAAAATGAGTAGAATATTGCGTTTGGAGTAACTGAAGACAAAAAACAGAAAGGAAAATACAGGGACTGATTTCTCCCAAAATAGGAGAGTTTCTGAAAACGAATTTTGATCGTTTTCATTTTTTTATTTTTATTTTCTCAAATCCATCTTTCCATCTAACCCCGAACCCAGCCTCAGATATTGCTTGCATCAGCAGCTTCTCCCATAGAAGATATTTATATATTATATTAATTAATAGTATAACTCATTTGGGATTATATTAATTATTTAACATACTATTTAAAATACTATTACATATTTTTAAAAATGTATAACCAAAAGGAGTTTCAGCTTTTTCTTATACTGAAAATAATCTTTTAATAAAACTACCAAACACATTTTCATAAATAATTTACGTCTGAGATTAAAAACGTTTTTATTTCCATTTTTATACAAAAAATAAAATCATTTTAAAACGGATTCTAAAAACGCCATTTAGGTTCTATTAATTTCATAACCATATTTTTTAAAAGAAAATTGCAGGCTAATTCCAATTTCCAACATGTCAAAGGAGTTATTAACAAAGACAACATAGAAGAGCATAAGATCTTGTCCCCCAGATCAAATCAGAAGAGAGTAATTTGAGTACCTTTTTTCGGTTGGAAATATGTAGCAAAGTACTTGAGTGGACCACAATAACTACTACTCATTAACCAAATGCTGATCTGCTTATTGGACCACACATGACTTGGACAATCAGAAAAAGTCAATTGGATTCATTTCAAGTTGGATTATTACTCCTCATTTTCTGCCGAAGTTTCAAAATCAGTATTGATTGTATTCTCTTGTGAAGACACCAATCACCATTCTTCTTGATTAGATTAGTGGATGTAATTGTTTTATCTAAATGTCTGGATTGGGATGAAAAAAAAAAAAAAAATCTGCAGCCAAAGATTATTACTGTTCTGCTGAGAAAATTAACTATTCTCAGTTCATTACTAAAACACTTCATGAGATTCAAACTATATTCAAAGAAAATAATGGTCAGAGTATTAATGTTGAATGAGACTAGAACATAGAGAAAAGGAGCAAAAAATAGAATGAACATACCATACCAAACCACCAAATATTAAACAATCATTTACAACTATGATCTTTTGATCATCTTCCATCAGCTGAAGTGAAGGACTCAGCGAATCCGTAAGGGCGAGTCGGAATGCTAGTTTGGGTGTTGTCTAAGCTGGGAAGTAGCGACGAAGAAGACGAATCCAAGTGGCTTCGGCCTTCATAAGCCTGCCACTTCTTGAGCGCTTGTGGCAGGGACATTTCGAGGTCAATGCCGTATATGTCCTCTGAGCTTTGCTCCGAGGGTTTCCACAGCTCGACAAGGGAAGACAGAACGTTAACGGCGTGTCCCATGTCAGGTCTTTGATAAGGTTCCCTTGCGCAGCAGTGGCCTGCTAACTCGGCGACGGTGCTGATGCTCGCTAGCGTTTCCTCGTTGAGGTCGGTTGTGGGGTCAATCGCCTTGCGGAAAGTGTCCTTGTTGATGTGCATTCTCCGGAACCATGTCACTAGGTGCATGCTCTCCTCTGGTTGTGTCTCATCAAGTGCTTTTCTTCCTGTGATTAGCTCCATCAGTATCACTCCGAAACTGAATACATCTACTTTTGTTGTCACTCGCCCGGTCACTGCAATCACAACATGTGTAAAAACTTTTATGTTAGAGATAAACTTAAAGATAAACTTGAGTCTACTTGGGGAAAAAAAATAAAGCACCACTATTCGGAGATACTAACATGAGATTTGGGCCCGTTTAGTTAGTTGATTCTAATTTTTAATTTGAGTTGAAATGTGACTTTATATGAGAGCTTTTTATTATTCTAAAAAAATTAGATGTGACTGTTTTTGATAACTTTTTACTGTAACAAAACTCGAATCGGTGAAATGAACGAGACAGAAATGAACGAGACATTTCCATTAAAAATATTTCAGGTGAAAGCAATCATTTACCCTAGATGATACATTACTCAACTCTTTCATATGGTTTATGTGCATAATATTACTAGATTTATTGTCAATGCTTAAAGTTAAAACAATGATAATGAGAATAAAGAACACAAAAAGTTACCTGCATACTCTGGCGCCAAGTATCCAAAAGTACCAGCAATTCTAGTCTCAATGGAAGCTTTACCCTCCGGGGCAAGGCGAACGAGACCGAAATCGGCAACCTTAGCCCTCATGTCATCCCCAAGAAGAATGTTGGAAGGCTTTAAGTCTCTGTGGATGAAGCTCTGATGGGCCAAACCATGGAGATATTCCACACCTCTTGCCACATCTAAAGCAATAGTAAGTCTTTTCTTCCATTTCAATGGCTTTAGTCCTTCCTCTGGCCAATTGAAAAGATGCCTACTAAGTGTCCCTTGAGGCATGTATTCATACACAAGAAGCCTTTCTAATCCATCCAAACAATACCCCAAAAGCGCAACGAGATGCCGGTGGCGAACTTTCGTCAAGACCGCAATCTCAGACTTGAATTCCCCCAGTCCTTTCCCCGCTATCACCCCAGATTCCATTCTCTTGACGGCGATTTTCGTTCCGTCGTGCAATTCGCCTTTGTACACAGTCCCAAAGCCTCCTTGCCCCAAGATATTCTCATGGCTGAAATTGCTCGTCACGTTCTTGAGCACCTGAATGGAAATCACCATGTTTCCTGCTTCAACCATTTGAATGTCACCACCAACTTCACTGCCGGGAAGAGTTTGCGCGTCGCTAACAGCGCCAACGCTTACACTCGAGCCCGCCACCGTGATCTTCACGCTCTCATTGTCGGACCCCTAATGCCGAGGATGGATCACCATTGCGTTGGGGCTCTGCACTCTGCTCAAACGTTTTTGTTTCGTCTTGTAAACACAGAACACCAACAGAGCAATCAAGAAAATAACAAACACCCCACCAATTACTGAGAACACAATCACTCCAATCAAACTAGAGGATTTCTTGCCGGAACGCCCCGAACCGCCACCGTTTTCGGAGCCTGCATTCGTGGGATTCGTCGAAGTCGGAGACGTCCCTGCCTCCCCTACAGATGAACTACTCTTCTCCTTCCCAATATCAGGATTACCATTGGTATTAACAATCACATTGCTCTTAAAAGAAGGGACTTTCCCATAAAGCAGATTGTTTGACACATCTAATTCAGTAAGTGAGGGCAAAGTGGAAATCTCCTCCGGGATAGTTCCGGTCAGATTGTTATTCGCAAGAACAACTCTTTTAAGAGACTTAAACAAACCAAAGTCAGGAGAAATAGTACCTGTGAGACCCATCTTCTCAAAATTGATCACTGTCACATTGCCATTGCTACAACTCACCCCAATCCAATCCGCGCAAACATCATTTCCCTTCCAATTCTCGGCAAATCTCCGCGGGTAATCCATCGACTTTGCGATCGAAAGCAACACATTCCCCTGCCAATCGCACGGCCCCGGAGCCGGCAAACAGAAGCTATTGGAATCCTTAGTCATGTCAACAGAAACCCCAGTTCCAAACTCAGGAACAGGACCTTGAAACAGATTGTTGGTCAAGTTCACAACTTTCAACGACTTAAGACCCAACAAAGATAGCGGAACAGGACCAGTGAACAAATTGTCCCTCAAACTCAAGCTCTCCAAATCCTTCAACCCCGAAAAGTCCGGCAAAGAACCGGAAAACGCGTTGGAATGTAACCAAACCTCTTTCAACAAACTCATGTTCTGAACAACATCAATCCTTCCACTGAGCTTCCCACTACTCTCCTGCCCATTAACCCACAACGACTGAATTTGCGAGCCCGAAAAGCTCGACGGCAAACCGCCCTCAAGCCTATTAAAAGCTAAGTGCAGAATGCTCAGCCCGGGGAAGTTATCAGCCCCGAAAAACTCGGGTATTCGCCCGGTGACGTTGGCAGAGTTGGAGGAGAAATTCTGTATCGCGGAGGCGTTTTTGAGCGCCTCCGGGATTTCCCACGCCGCGAAGGGGTTGTTGTCGATCTCGACGGACTGAAGAGACGTCATTCCGGCGAAGAAATCGCTCGGAATGGAAGAGAACATGTTGTTGCTGAGCATCAAAACTTGCAACGAGCTTAAGCCGCTGAGAGATGGGAGAGGACCGGAAATGTTGTTCCATTGAAGCTCCAAGCGCTCGAGTTCGGTGAGGTTTCGGAGGTCCGGAGGAAGCGTGCCTTGGAGATTCTGGTGACCGATTTGGATGCGGGTG